TATATATTTATATATATATATATATACACACACACACACAGTGTACCAACCCTGAACACGTGTGGAGGGTACAGTGGACCGGACCGTGCTGAGAGTGTCACAGGTCTGATCCCCGTGTGGCCCCGCCCTCCCTGCTCCTCCTCCGGTCGACCGGCCACATTCCCGCTACCTTCCACCGTGACAAGCACCGATCTGACGGCGAAGCAGCGGACGAACCCCGGGACATCATGGTAAGAACCCCCCGGAGCCGCTCCCTCGGCTCCCCTGTGTCTGTGTAGCGGGCCCGCGTCGCTCCGGCTGCGGGCCCCGGTTCTCCGGAGGACCGTTATGTGGCTCCGCGGGTAGCGTCATGTCGGCTAGCATGGCTGCCGCTCCCGGTGGTTGGCGGCTCTGGCCTCGATACAGACCCCGTTATTCGGTGTGTCCGGTCCAGTCAAACATGTTCCGGCCCCGGGGACTGATGTGGGGACGTTAACGGGCTGTTAAGACATTAGTTTACCCCCTAACGCTCCGTACCCCGGGCCGGGCCGGGCCTCAGGCCGTGTGGCTCGGGGCGGCCATCTTACTCCGGCTGGGTGCAGGTTACTCAGCTGGAGCCAGGACCCGGTCTGACCTGGAGCCAGGACCCGGTCTGACCGGGACCGGGTCCGTAACAGGAGCAGGTTAGTTAGTCCGGGTTAGTTCAGAGTTAGAGGCACGGCTGTGTGAAGGCCTGAAGGCTGCAATTACTGGAACTAGTTACTGCAACTAACCAGCAGCAGTAACCAGCAGCAGTAACCAGCAGCAGTAACCAGTCCTCTGTCAGAGCAGCCACATGTTTAACTTCTGTTCTTCATCTGAAACCGTTGAGTTAGTTGCTCTGACTAAACTTACCAATGATAACTAGTAGCAGAGTGTCCGTTACTTGTATACTCTCATAGTTCACATGTCTCATTTGACTAATTGTGTTAACTAGTATTATGAGTAAACCGATCAGTTCGACTAGTTGCAGTGCTGTGATCAGTGACGTCAGAGAACGTCACGATGTGGAGCTTGATTCAGTTTAGCTTCTGGTTAAGATTCACAAATGTAGTTTGATGGATGAAGTCACCAGATATGAATAAATACTATTTGAAAGAAGTTTCATTTCGAGTCACAACTTTATTCACTGGAGGATGAACACAGTAATTATATCAGGGCTCTTATTTTGTAGAGTTTCCTGTGAATGTGACCTTTTCCTCCTGGAGGATTCATCATGTGTTGGTTTCATCCAGTGGAACGAAGCAGGAAGTTACAGACCCGGACAGACGTGAAGATAATGTGTGGAAAGATATTTACACCGATTTTAATGAGACGCACACGAGGACGTTTCCTCTTCAGCCTCAGTCTGAAGCTTCTGTCGGAGACGACGGAGCTCGTTTCCTCTCTGAGTCTGAAGCTTCGTGTTTGTTTCATCTGTTTTAGTTTCATGTGATTCAGAAACGATTCTGTCTGACACGCCTACTTCCTGTCATCATCACCTACGTGGGCGGGGTCTACCTGTACTTGACTCTGATTGGTTTGTAGACGGAGTCTGATGTGGGCGTGTTGTCAGTTGGGGGGGGGGGGTAGTCTTTCTTTTTGAATGGAGAACATGAATGAAGAGCTTTGGTTGCCATGGTAACATCATGATGTTATCACTAGCAGCATCAGCACCTTCAGGTGCAGTACTCCACAGTACTCCACAGTACTCCAGTACTTACAGTACTACGGTACCACTCAGTAGTTTAAATGAACGTCCTCATGGTACTAACATGTCGCTGGAGGTGAAGACTGCAGCTGCTTCCTCTTCTTCTTCTTCTACTGTTTAATGCTGCCTCTACTTCCTGTGCTTGGTCAGTTAGAGGAACTTTCTGAGACGCTGCATCATCTCAGTGTCACAGACGGACTGAAGGCAGAGGAAGATTTAACACAACAACAACTCGATGTTGTCTCACTTTTACTTTCCACCTCGTTTTAATAAGTTATAAAAATCTGCTGACTCATGCTGCTGTTACTGTCTCACACTCTGACAGCCAATCACAGGCACTCGGCTTCCTCCGCCCAGGAAAAGATGCAGAATGAACAAGTGTTGAGTTGGTGATTGATTTCAGTTTTGTGTTTAACAGCAGACTAATGACTGACAAACAGCAGGGGGGGGTCAGTCCTCTGTGGATTCAAACCCACAAACACAGGCGTCGGCCAGAACGGTGTCAAAGGTTCATTCAATTTAAAATGACGGATTGTTTCAGAACGCTGAGTCATCACATTGTGTTGTGCTGTAAAACAACCAAATACACAAACATCACCTGGGGAAAGAGGGCGTCGACAGTAAAGTGTCGCTGTGGCCACACCTCCAGTGTCTATGATGATATTTGTCTTCCTGTGATGTGAGTTCATAAACCATCAGAAATGATCAAAGCCCTGGAATGATGTTATAAATTCAAACATCACATGTGTCTCATCAATAAACACAAACACGTAGATGATAAAGATTCTAAATATAGAAACATGAACTAAATATCGTGTGTGTCCTCTGCAGGCGTCAGGTGTGACAGTGAACGATGAGGTCATCAGAGTGTTTAACGACATGAAGGTGAGGAAGTCTTCGACCCAGGATGAGGTGAAGAAGAGGAAGAAGGCGGTACTGTTCTGTCTGAGCGAGGACAAGAAGAAGATCATCGTGGAGGAGGGGAGGCAGATCCTGGTGGGTGACATCGGAGAGACTGTGGAAGACCCCTACGCCTCCTTCGTCAGTCTGCTCCCCCCCGACGACTGCAGATACGGCCTGTATGACGCCACCTACGAGACCAAGGAGTCCAAGAAGGAGGACCTCGTCTTCATCTTCTGGTACAGTGCTCGTTACAGGACCAGACTCTGATCCGCAGCTTCGTCTTCATGACCTTGTTGATCAGAGCCGATTGGACCAGAGCTCCCAGTGATTAGTTCCTGTTCAGGACTCGGGTTGTATCTTCTGTGTTGAGTGTCAGCTGTGATTGTGCGTCTCTGAAAGTTGAATGACCTGATGGTTCAAGCGTCGCCGTTTGAAATCAACACATTTCTGCTCATGAGACCATCTGAAGTAGTTTTTGATTCAGCAGAGGGCGCTCACGTTCATCTTGACCTCTGTGCCCTCTTGATCAGTAAAGTTAGTCAGTAATGCTGCGTTGTTTTGTTACGAAACCGGAGGACGCTAACAAGCAAAGCCGTCCTGAGCGGGACAATCACCAGCGTGGAAACCTTTTGTGTTTGAGCACTTGTACGGTGCAGGGATTTGACATTCAAACAAGTTGTCGTGACAGATTTATTAGAACCAGTAACACAACAACACAATGTCCGCCATTTGTTTCCCCCATGATTCCTTTGTCCCCAGACAGAACATTCACACTGTTCTCTTCTGTTTTTCCTCAGGGCTCCGGAAGGCGCTTCAATGAAGAGTAAGATGATCTACGCCAGCTCTAAAGATGCCATCAAGAAGAAGTTTACAGGTGAGTCGTCACCCGCCGAGGTCAGACACAAGGATCCTCCTGTGAGGCGAGGTCTCACTCCGTGTCTCACTATGTGTCTCACTCCGTGTCTCACTCCGTGTCTCACTC